ACGTTACAGAATTAAAATGCAGTTTAACAAAGTTTTAAGTTCAGGATCGGTTAAGCAACGGATCATAGTATTCTGGGAGTGAATGTGACAAATCACAGCAGAAATGCAATATTTTACTTCAAGACCCAGATCACCGACTGATCACCAGATGCGGAATACTGCCATGTTCAATAAATTAGCTTGTCGGATATGAGTGCCGTATGTCTGATAAGCTGCTACATAGCTTCTACAAAATGACTCCCACAACGCGTAAAACTTTATCGTGGCCGACCGAAGCAAATATGGAGAGACGAAGTAGAATAATACGCGAAAATTAAGTCTCACGTTCCTTCGTAAATTAGAACAAAAAAGGTAAAAGAGAAATCTTTGGTAAAAATAGAATAATTTAAATGTCGGGAATTAAAAGGTCTAAATTCAACGCGATAAAATCCGTACAATTAGTTTCATTTAATGTAGCGTTCGCGTAAACATAAAAAGTCGTTGCAGAATAATTTATATTATTATTATATATTATTATTATATGACTGTCATTATCATCCATATCACATCATATTTTTCGCTATGCATCCGAATCTTCCAATTTAACCGCTTAACTTCATAGTGATTAGATATAGTTCTAGCTCGAAGATCTAGAGCTAAAAACGGATGATTTTTACCGTAGTCAAAACCGTATACATACACAGTTTCAAAGCAGCATCACAGGCGCAGATAATCCTTATAACACTTCGTGATAAAAATAGTAGTATTTTGTTTGAAAATGAATGCAAAAGTAAAATATATGTATGTATGTATATATATTATAGGTTAAACAAATGCTAGGTTCAGCCGGATTTCCTCCCAGCTCATCGCTGCATATAAATAATAAGTTATAAATATATTTTATGGCAGTTACCATTAATCAAAAGGATTTAAGTAAACGTGGCGCAACATCCCTTTGAAAGTAATGCGCTCGTGTAGTAATACAGTCTGGAGCTTTCGAAAGCAATAGAATAGGTTGTCAAAAAATAAAAAACCTAAAAACCACCTGTTAGATACTTTACTTTAAAAAGTAATATTTAATTTATATACAAAAAACATCACTCAGTCTACCCACTACTATCCTCGATTAAAAAGATGGAACGCCTCGTTATCAGTAAAAAATTTAATTCGCTACATACCATACAAAATACAGCAGCATTATTTTACTATTTTTTGCTGGTATTCTTAGAGCGTGGTCTTTCCCCGGTACAGCCCTACCTTTATGCTGCAGAGTGGCTCTACCACGACAAATTTAATATCAGTAAAAATTTTATTTCGCTACATACGTTACAAAATACAGCAGCATTATTTTACTATTTTTCGGCGGTATTCTAAGAGCGTGGTGTTTCCCCGTTACAGCCTTACCTTTATGTTACATAGTGGCTCTACCACGACAAATTTAATAAATCATAATTAGTTTTTAGAATCACTCGAATCTATAATAATTGCAAAAATTTCTACGTTTTTATCTGTAACGTCTATGCTATTCTACGTTTCTTGCATGTGTCATAAAAATAATAATTAAAGGTTTATTAATCTATGCTTATTTTCATTTAATGAATGAAACATTTATTATAACAATGTACAACTTGGGGTACATCCTGTAAATAGTCTATAAACAAGCTCATTAATAGAAAAACTATTAGCCTATCATAAAAACACATGTGTGTCTCACTGATGTTGAAGGTGTAATTCTTGGTTGTAAGGTTGGCATTTCAAACCATCGTCTACCACTAAAGCTCATCAGAAGTCCTTCATGCTAAGCAAAGACATTTCCCAAAGACTGCTACATATCTAGGCTCTGAGCCACCTGTATCCATCGTGTATCACGTCCTACCACGTCGTTACACCAGCCCAAGTTCAGCTTCCTAATCGGTTCTCTTTTTTCTTACGGACAGCGGCAAAGATCATATTATTTCCGTTTTTATTATTTGATATATTGGTAATCTAGGTTGTAGATCTCTTTTCTGTATCTCCCGTATTCCTATTTACGTCACCAAATATCAGTCCTTGTACTGGTTCCGGTCTGAAGGCTATAGAGAGCTAATATAATTACAGGCTGTGAATCGTTTGATTTTAGTCCCCAGAGGTGACAACACGTTTGTATCACTTCGTTTGAAGTTGGCATCAAGTTTCCGTGAACTGCACAAGCCACTCAACATCAGGTGGACTGTTAGTTGGTTTCTCACTTCAGTTTTATAAAAAACACTATCAACATCTAGTTGTGCATGAAACTAAAAAGTAGTTTTGTAACTATTTATTGAATGCTACGAAATTCTTGCAGCATATCGATGAAAGCATAGCAGCAGGAAATAAATTTAAACTGAGATTTTTTGTCAACCTTATTGAGTATCCACTTTCCACTTACCTTCAGGTGAATATGACATTTTGATTCTTTATCAAGGATAAATGAATATGATATATACATTTACCCTCGATAAAGAATCAAAATACATATACGTTTTCTCCCCTTAGGACTCCGGTTCTCTATACACATCATACGAAAAACAGCAACATTAAGTTGTTATTTTGCGCTGGTATTGTGTGAGCGCTTGGTTCTGTCCCGATCGAGTCGACTAAATTATGCTACAAACATAATATAGCTGCAGCATGGCTTTAAACTCAATCGGTTAATGGCATGGTAAATGCTGGCAGCCTTTGTAATATACATATTATGATTAAAATGCTGATATAAAAATACAAAAATATTTCAATAAGCCGAAATAATAATCCGAAAGTAGATTATCAATGTTTACGATACAATAACGCGCACCGTCAGCCGAGAACCAGCTTATACTCTATTGACCGCCTGCGCCGCTATAGATAATGGTAGTCACGATTTCGGAACCTAACGCATCATCTGTAACATAACGATAAGTTGATACATGAATTGGAACATAGTACTAATGTTTATATTTTATGCGGGCAAAATCTTACAAAAGTTATTTTACTAAATTTAAATCTTATCCAAATGTAATACGGATTACTATAAAATATAACAACAGAATAAATAAGTTTGGACAACGCTCAGATCAGAAGCGACCGTGCCTGAAATACTGTGAAAATGTAGTACACATTTTTAAGTTACACTATAAATTATTTCTTTTTAAATATTTTGAGCTTATAATGTTTTTAAACTACAACAATTACGCACATATATTCTGCATTAAAGGCTCATTTTAATCAGATTTTTCTGAATTCTTGTAGATGAACTGTAATCGTTCTGTTTTCATTATTAGTAAATTTAAATAAAGTGATTAGAAATACTATTACTAGTAATTATGGTATTATTAATTAAAAGAAAAACAGTCAACCATATGTAACAATACTTTACCGTAATTTTTTGTTAGTAAATTTTTCTTAAATATATATAATTCTATAATATTTAAATGTGGATAACTAAATAAATGATAAATAAAATCTAAAAAAGAACAAACGTCAAGTTGTTATTGTTGTATAAGTTGTACAATGATATTTTAGTTTTAGTGCTCGGGTTGCACAATATCACATATTTCACATTTATTATATGTACATAAAACTCAATACATATAACGAAAAAATATTCTGAATATCGCAACATTTTAATATTATCTATCAATATGGTTTATTTGCTGAATCAGTGTATTAATTTAATTCTTAATAATCTTCTGTGTATCACAAACAAGCAAACTTTTTATTGAAGGCAATGAATTTCCCCCATTAAAGTGCGTAATTGTTGTTATTTCAAAAGTTATAAGCTCAAAATATTTTTTAATAAATAATTTGCAGCATAACTTTAAAATGTGTACTACATTTTCACAGTATTTCAGGCACGGTCGCTTCTGATCTGAATGTTGTCCAAACTTATTTATTCTGTTGTTATATTTTATAATAAGCCGTATTACATTTGTATAAGATTTAAATTTAGCAAAATAACTTTTGTAAGATTTTGCACGCATAAAATAGGGGTGGCGATGTTTACTCACGCACCACGATCGATCGAGTAGAGCCTACGCGTGAAAATTGCAACCCGTCGCACAACATTTTCAGATTTACAATTTTTTTTAGATATAGAATAAAATATTAACTAGTACAGTATTACACAAAACTTGGTGTGCTGCAAAACAAATCCTGAGTGCTTAATTGTGAGTTCAAATTTAATAAATTTAAACATGGATGTTACAAAATTTTTATTTAAGTAATAAGTCTTCCAAGCGCAAAATCGTGGCAAAATTTTTAAAATTAATAATAATTACGTGACTATCTCGGAAACTTATATTTTTCGAATGTAGTACATAGGTATGTATGTGTATATACGCATGTATAACGTAGTATGCTATCTTTTCCTTTGTTAGCTGTAGTCTTAAATTAAAGGATATGAACGAAACTTTGTATTTAAAAAATGTTATATTTTCCAAGTTTACCCAAATAGTTTTTATCCCTAAGAAAGTTATAATACTATATTACAATTTTCTTAGGTTTCTTTCTTAGATCATTATATTTTTTGACGCGGAGCGAAACTCGTTAGCCCAGGTACTAATAATTTATGCTAACAATTAATTTTATAATAATCGTAATAATTTTAAACTAAAAGTATTGTGAAAACGTAATGATTTAGTTATGTTAAAAGGCACACAACAGCGTCGAGGGAGCGCAAATGTTTCAGAGATTTCCATTCAGGTGGGATATAACTTACGCTTTCGTCCGCCTCCTTGGTAATTCGAACGACCCCTCTACAATTATTTCAGTCGTCTTTTTTACTGTACTTTCCTCCTTTGTCTTGCAATTTTCATTTCCAGCCAAATTTTTTTTTCTAAATAACAAAACTACAATTCAAAAACGTTGGTTGGAGTTTAAAAAATCGTCACTAGAATTATAGCGAGGATTTTAAAATTTATTTTGAACACATTTTCCTGTAGAAATGTTAAATGTAATAAAAATAAATCGTGAAGTACAAATGACAATGTTAAATAATGATGACTAAATTTACTTAACGTAATGTCATGGCAAGAAAATACATGGAGCGAAGATTTTCAAAACCACACCGCACCACAATCCCGGCTAGCTTTAAAGTCCCAGAGCCTTATGAATTTTATAACAAGGCGACGCCCTTCGTGCAGCGAACGCTGCTTTTTGTTGCGGACGAAAATTCCGGACCGAAGGCGAGCGGTAGCGGTGCTACTGAAAATTCAATTGATGTTCAAGAGACTGCCACTGAAGAACCAACGATATCTAAATCAAGCGACGAACAAGAAAAATCTCCGAAGAAGAGCTCATTTTTCTTTTCCCCATCGAAAAGTTGCAAGATTCATGGGCGAAGCTTTTTCAGACTTCAGACAAGCCCCAAGAAGTCGAAAACAGAGGCGACAGGGGACGCGGGAGCTCGATCCGCGGCGGCTGGAGCGACGACGGGGAACGGGGGGCTAATCAGCTATGCTCCTGGGTGGTCACTCAAGGGTGAACACCTTATGAAATGGCAAGCTTCAGGGAAGACAACTATCGAGGTGATGTACTTTTATTGCTATTTTAATATGAGGGTGCTATATATTATATATTTAGATAATTTTTTTAATTAAATAATCAGTTAAAGCGATAGTAGCCTAACGGTAGAGTGCAGACTGCAAACTCTAGAGAGTTTTGGGTTATATGTTATATGATGAGATGTAGTATTCTTTTAGAAACGTTTCACATTTATCAGGTCTCTATATTATTTTTAAGACATCGAAAAAGTGGCTCCATGCTATCGCCGTACCGATCTGAGTGAATACATAATTTCTGTAAAAACATAAAAAAACGCCGTCATAAGGTCTAAAATTGCGTAGCGCCCGCGACGATTCAGAATTCGCTTAGAAATTGTCAGAATCCTAAAATATTTTTAAAAAATTTCTGATTTTAGGAATCAAAATAAGGAGCAAGTGAGTTATGAATATTAATGTTATGAATATATTTGAGTGATTTCCAAGCATATAGATTAAGTAATTTTGTTGTAATTAAATCGTGTCAAAATTATACAATCGTGTTTTTGAAAAAGCAAATTCAAGATAAAGACATGAATTTAACTATATCAAAATTTCACTTTCATTAGTGATGTCATAGTCCTATACTATTCGATGAAAAGAGGTGTATTTTTTCGCTGTGTCGCCTTTAATGCTATATTTTATTTACAGTATACTGATCTTTGCTGCATCATTCTTTATTATTGAACCATTTTTATTCCACATTTTCAGTGCCCATATAATGCGTTTAGTAAAAGTCCCTGACAAGTTATCGCTGCTGAATAAAAAGTTTATCTTGTACTTTCCGACCACAAAAAAGTTTACGACAACTGGCAACTTGCTACAACACAACGTCGAAAGGTAGAAATTGTGCATGCAAATCTAAAGGAGGGTAACCGGGGTGAAAGGTGGATGTTTTTAGAAAAGAAAACGAAAATTTCAATTTAAACACGCCCTAAGGTGATACGGGAATTTATTAGCGCGTATAAAAGGAACGCTTCTAGAAACTTCTTGAACAAATCAAGTTTTTAGAAAATATCGACTCGTCCACTTTTTTTCAAATACAATTCTTTGTAACAATAATATATTTTTATTGAATATAAGTATTTCAATGTCGTGTTTTAATATAAGTTTATATGTATTAAAATGAAAATTTAATCATAAGTATCACCAATTTAAGAATATTGGAAAAGTTACTGATTCCCATCAGTAAAATTTATTCTAGGTATGAGTAATATAGCTTCATTAGTATCAAATAGAAACTGTATCTATATTTACATAATACATAAACACTCACGCCTGTCACCCAGAGGGGTAGGCAGAGACTACGGACTTCCATTTGGCACGATCCTGACATACCTCTTTCGCCTCCTTTACATCCATATATCTACGCATACATGCTCGTCGGTTAAGGGTACTTCTAACGTGGCCCCTTTTCAAAATATCGCCAATTTGGTCGATAAAATTTTTTCTAGGGCGTCCCTTCCCGACTCGGCCGTTCACATCTGCCATATAAATTTGCTTTGTCACTCTTTCCTCATTCATTCTTTCTACATGACCAAACCACCGAAGCATTCCTTTCTTAATCCTGGTCACAACATCATCTTGCATACCACATTTATCTCTTATCACGCAATTTCTCACCCTGTCATTCAGATTCAACCCAAGCATACTCCTTAAAGACCGCATTTCTACAGCATTTATTCTACTTTCGTGCTTCTTCTGCCACACCCAGCTTTCACTACCATACATTAAAGTAGGGACTAACACAGCATTATGAATTACCATACGTGCCTTTTTTGACACATTCTGGTTCTTCATAATAGAGTGTAGTGCCCCATTCACTCTATTCCCTGCATTTACTCGTCGTTCTATATCCCTATCATATCTACCATCCTCCTTCTATTCTTATTTCACATACCGTTTTGCTTTCTTCTCTTTCAAAAACCATCACTTTCGTCTTACTTGCGTTCACTTTCATTACCCTTTCTTTTTTTTGTATCTATATTTACTGAAACTATAAATGGATAGATACGCTATAAAAATTACTTGGATTTTGGATATTAGATATACAGATTCAATAACTTTAATATACGTTTTGTATCGCTCACTTTTAATTTGATTATTTGACGCCTCTATTGCACAGTGGTTAAGAAATCGGCAACGGTACTGAGGGTCGTAGGTTTCATTCAAACACGAAACAAGTATCTTGTACACTTATATGGAACACATAAAATTATTCGGGGTAAATCATTCATCAATCATCAATCAATCATTACCTTCATGTTATCCGAGAAATTCTAAGTTAAGAATGAAGAAAAGTAGATTTTACACTTCACGAAAAATGCACATTCCTTATTATATTCTTATAAAACATTTTTGTCCATTTTATTTTTGTTACCTGTGTACGTGGTAGAGCAACGCTGCAGCTATATTATGGTGGTAGCACGAACGGGTCACGCTCTCACTGAATACCAGCGTAAAAGAGCGGCTCTATGCCGCTGTGTTTCGTATTTTTTTTAGAATAATGGTGACAAACGAGCACTCGGTCCACCTGATAGTAAGTGGATTCTGTGGCCTATAGACATCTACATTTAACTTCAAACGAAACACAGCAGCATTAAGCTGCTATTTTACGCTGGTATTCTGTGAGACCGTGGCCCTACCCCGGCCGAGCCGACTCATTCGTGCTGCAACCACAATATAGCTGCACCAAGGCTCTACCACGTAAAAAATATGTGAAAACCGTGGTGAGTGTAGAGAACCGGAGCCCCTTTTTACAGGAAATTTCATCTTAGTCTTCAGGGGTGGCAACGCATCTGCATTTTGATTCCTGATCGAGGATAAATGTAGATGTCTATGGGCCTGTAATCACCTGGCGTAGGGCTGAGTCTCAACAGATCGCAGCACGACGCTGCTCTACCGAGCACAACACCCCGCCAGGAACGTAAGTCGTCTACAGACTATTCCGAGCTCCGACATCGAACTGAGGTTGATTCGGACCCTCGGCGCCGTGTTGCACGTGTTAAAGACCGATAACACCGATCGCCGAGATCCAAATGGGCTTCGACGTCGCACCGCACGAGTGCAGAGCGACTAGTAAAGTCACATTGTTTAGAGCCTCCCGACTCTCGGAGCTCCACAGTGAGCATATCCTTGCCGGATTCGGCTAGGCTGGCTTCGGCCTTTGAGGCCTACAGGCATAATCCCGCGGATGGTAGCTTCGCACCACCGACCGCTCGGCCGAGTGCATGAACCAAATGTCCGAAGCTGCGGTTCCTCTCGTACTGAGCAGTATTACTATCGCAACGACGAGCCATCAGTAGGGTAAAACTAACCTGTCTCACGACGGTCTAAGCATCCATTTACCATCAGGTGAACTGTGTGCTCGTTTGTCACACTTATTCTATGAAAAATATCTTTATCGTAATATATAAATACATAACATATATAAAAACTCAAGCCTGTCACCCAGGGAGGTAGGCGGAAACTACGGACTTCCATTTGCCACGATCCTGACATACCCGTAGGTTAAGGGAATTATACTTATCGGAATGGAAGTGAAAATGTCAAAATACAATAGAGTATTTAGAAACAATGTAACATAATATATCCAAGTAGGAAACGTTACAATATTTGTTCCGACGTCTTGGTCGCAATAATAATTTTGCGAGCATTAGCCGGATCGCCACCCTCGCTTCTTTTTCCCGTACCGTTTGGTACGGAAAAATGAGACAAGATTAAGGATGTTGATATCCTTTTATATAAGCGTAATGGTGTATCTAATTTCTGTCATTGCTACTGAATATTGTGTGGCTTTATCTCGTTACAAGTTTTATCGAAATACGTATAATTTCTTATCTATACTAAACCAAAAATTTAGGCGAGAGCTTTTCACTTTATACTGGTTGGCCCGGGTTTTTACATTGTAAATTTAAAATTAGGTAATAACTCTACCATAGCTACATCCCGATTTTGTAATTTCCTTTTTTGTCACTAAACCAACATATATTGGAAATGTGAATCTTCTTGGTCCAATTATATAGAATTTGTTATTAACTTAACTCCAGCGCCATCTTTTGAATTCTAACTTAGCTATGAAATATCATCTTGGCAATACAAATCAATATATTGCGCCTTAATCAGTCAACTCGTTTAGAAGTTACATCGTTATTACTCCAAGGATTACGAACAAAAGGTGCAATACAAAGATCTTCACAACCAGAGTCATACATTTTATATACATATGTCATACATTCACACATTTACAGTAAGTAAAGCGTAGTTGATGTGGTACGTAGTTTTACGTGATGTAACCGTACTACAGCTATATTGTGGTTTTAATATGAATGGGTCGGCTCGACCGGGGAAGAACCACGCTCTCACAGAACACCAGCGTAAAATAGCAACTTAATGCTGCTGTGATATGGAGACTGTCGAGAACCGGAGACATTTTTTCTGGAAATGAGATATTCCACCTTAGTCTTCAGGGGTGACAACACATCTGCATTTAAATTTTAACCGAGGGTAGATGCCATCTATACACAGTATTTATCACAGTATAATATTATGTCCATATCACATTATCCACTTAGCTTCAGGTGTAAAACAAAAATGCTGCGGGCCTCGAGTTTGAATTCTGCACGCCTATTTGAATGGTTTTAAATTGCTAGTCCGTTCTGAAAGTTCGGCCATGTAAAATATGAGTAACTGTTTACCGTCCCACGAGTTGTTAGCATAAGAAAAAGATTCAAATTCGGTAAGACTTATTTTAAGTATATAAATGTATGAAAGACAATGCTGTTGATGCTTCGGATACCGTAAGTTATAAATTATTCTACGTAAAATTTTAACATTTCCTATAACTGAGGAATATTATGTCTGAAGCAGAAATGCATCGGTTTGACAGGTAAAGGATCACGCTTCTACAGAAAACCAGATTTAAATAAAGAACATAATGTGTGTTAAGAGCCGCATGCCTTTTTCCCCACTTCCTATTGTTAATTGGTGACATTCCTTTGTCACTAGGGAGACTGTATGCTAGTTTATCATCCTTACTTACATTTTCAAAAAACATGCCT